TGAGGAGCAGTATTCAGGAAGGTGTATCCTCAGTAATGTGGAATCATTTATTCTAGACTAAGGACTGCTTTTGGCCTAATAATCATAAAAAGCAACATTCAAGAGAACAAGCTCAAATGTTACATAAATACAAAAATATCCAGCACCCAAGAGGGTAAAACTCATAATGAATGGCACCTAATAAAAACTGTTAGGCATACAAAGAGGCAAAAACTTGAGTTTGTAAGAAGTCTTGTTAAAACCACGCTTCAACCTGAGATGGCAATGTGACCACACACCAGCTTGATTGCTGAACATAAATCCACAGAAATTCAGAATCCTGATAAGACTCACATCTAGATTTCTAGTAAGCATGTGCCTTTGTTCCACCTCATTTTCCAACTTCTTTTTTAGATGAGATATCTCATGTTCCAGTTTTTCTATCTGGTTACTAAGCCTGTGTTTGGTTTCTGTTTCAGATCGTTCTAGTATTCCCTAAGACAAAGAAAAGATTTTTTGTTACTTTAAAAAAGCCGGGGGGGGGGGGGGGGGGGGGGGGGGGGGAGCATTATAAATGAAAGGATATAGGGGATTACAGGATTATAATCAATTTCTACATGAAGTTAGGATCTATGACATTTGCCAAGGAAGTTATTTTAACATTTTACAAATTAAAACATCTATTTAATAGGCGAAAAAAGAAACGTGAAAAATAGTAATTCAGATTTAAGTTTTAAAGCAAAAAATAAAACCAAAAATTTAAATTTTATAACAAACTACATACAACTCTGTAAATGCAGACCTGCATACCAAAACTGTCAATTGCCTGAATTTCAGATCTTTCATGTTTTATTTAGAATACTGACACATTTCAATAAACCTCGAAATTCAATGATCATTACATGATAAAAATGGATACATTTTCTAATTATGAAAACTGAGAAGATACAATGTGAAAACTATTTACACTTAACTTTAAAATTGTTTTCTCTGTGTCTTTTTGGTTACCTGAATTGTTTGCAGATTAGTTAGCAGTAAGTTTTGCCCTCTTTGTTCAGCTAACAAAGACTCTCTTTGCTGAGAAAGACGAACTTCTGACAATTTAAGCATTTCCTTTTCTTTTTTCAAATTTTCTGCTCTTACCTTGAAGAAAATACAAATGAAAAAAATGTTGGAAAACAATGTCAGATGTAATATAGTAATACAATTACAAAATTAAAGTGATCCTTCATTACTCCATGTTCTTAATGCTAATTGAGTCTATACCTTCTCATTACATAAGAAAATATAACTTAGTTTCATGTGTTGAAATATGAAGCAAAAATAATAGGGAACACCAACAAATCAAAGGAAAAAAATCTTGTGATTACCACAAATTCATATAATTCTTTGTCCTAACGAATTTATTTTTTTAAAACAAAAAATAAAAATAAAAAATTCCAGAGTAAAAGAAACACAATTGTAAAATTATGCTACAGTCTACTTGTGTTAAGTTAGGCAAGTTTTAGAAGGTAGTGTGGTTACTATCTACTTGAGAGTGCTGACTGGTGTACTTTTCCCCCCCATGAAAAATACATCTGAATCTCAGGGGACCTTGGAGGGTGATTTAAAGATCAATACCCTCAAAGTATTCATATTTACATAAGTCATAAACTATCAACCCTAAAACTAACTCCACCAGTCTGAAAAAGTACATTCTCCACAAAGGAGCTATAAAAAGAATATAGCCAATAGGTTTAGAAAACCATGGTTTAAGTTGCAACCAACTCATGTCATATGATCGCCCCCAAATAGGCAAATTACTTAGCTTTGAATCTATTTCTCAATAAGTAAAGTGGGAAACAACTTTACCTAGTTCACAAGTAGTGATCAAAAGTTGAGAGCACAAGTCCTAGCTGGGCTGCTCAGTAAAGCATCGACCTGCACACCAAAGGTCACAGGTTTGATTCCTGATCAAGGCCACATATCTGGGTTGCAGGCTCCAGGTTAGATTCCCTAGTCCAAGTTGGGGCACACGTGGGAGGCAACCAATCAATGTTTATGCTTCTCTCCCCTTTTTCTCCTTCCCTGTCACTCTCACTAAAGATCAATGGAAAAAGTATCATCAAGTGAGGATTAACAAAACAAAACAAGTTGAGACAACTTCATAAAAAAGCAAAACCCTACATAAAAATTAGTCATTAAAGAATTCAGTTCTGACATTTATATTCATGTTGAAATTCAGAAATATAATACAATATTAATGAAATTTTATACTGTCTTTTTTTTAAGAAATCAGCAAGAATGAATAAAATATTCATTTGTCTTGTTGTAGCTAGTGATTTACAAATTTTGAAATGGATGACTCGTAAGAAAATCTTAATGTAAAAAACAAATTTCTTTCCTCTTTAGAAACATCCTGCTGATGAACTAGATACAGCTGACATTTTAAATACGAGGCAGTTAGGGATATCAACTAGCTATACAGATGAAAATCCACGTGTAATTGAAGTTGGCCCTCCACCTACAGATTCCCAGTCTTGGATCTATTATATTTTTTTGGGTTGATAGTTTATTTTTATGGATTTCGTAGAGGAAAGGCAAGGGAGAGAGAGAAACATCAATGATGAGAGAATCATTGATTGGCTGCCTCCTGCACGCTCCCTACTAGGATCAAGCCAATAATCTGGGCATGTGCCCTTGGCGGGAATCGAACTTGGTACCCTTCAGTCAGAAGGCCAATGCTCTATCCACTAAGCCAAAACACCTGGGGGGGAGGGGGTCCTAACTATTATGGACCCTTTAACAAACATGGGTTTGAACTGCACAGGTTTACTTATACTGGGTCTACTTACATATACAGAGCTATGGATAAGTGGACCTGTGCAGTTCAAACTTTGATCAAGGACTTGTAATACACAAGCTTCTCAAATATCTATGTCATACCAACCAGTAAAATTAAATAACTTAAAAAACAAATGTCAAATGCAATTCATAATGCAAATCAGATGAGAAAAATTGCTCTCACTTCTGCAACAGCTAGCTTTTCATTTGCTCCTCTCAAATCTTGTGTCATTGTATTGATGATCTGTTCCTGCTTTTGAGTTGTTGCAGTGAGTTTCTGATTTCTCTCATGCAGGGATGTTATTTCTCGGCGATATCCTTCAACGTTATCTTGTAACATCTCATAACTTGTATGAAAGAAAAATAATTCTATAAGACATAAGTCATAAACTATCAATCATAAAACTAACTCCACCAGTCTGAAAAAGTGATTCCCCACACTGCAATACACTGAAAACCATAGCCCAGCTTAATTCCTTAAAGAATTTCACATTAGCTTAATTTTAAATAAGTATACATAAAAAGTGGCTTTATAATAATATAACAACTTCATACTTTTTTCTAAACTCCAAAATTAGCAGTTAAATTCAAATTCTAAATAAGCATAGTATTTCATGTTGAATTAACTTTTAATCTTATTCCAAGAATTTTAATATTAGAAATACCAATACAATGTTGACTCAACCAGACATCCACCACAATGCAGTATGCAATTTTAGATATGGATGCATGGTTTGTGATACATTTTTGCCATTCTTTTCTCGTCCATAACTGTCTTTTTTAAACAAATGAATTTATTTTTTTAGAGAGAAAAAGGGAGAGCCAAAGAGAAATACTGAGAAACATAGATCAGCTGTCTTCCACATACACACTCCAATGGGGGATTGACCATGTAGCCTGAGTATGTGCCCTGATTAGGAATCAAACCTGCCACTTGTGACTCCAACCAACTGAGCCACATGGCCAGGGCTCATCTTATTAAGTACCTAAAATATTAGAAAATAGCTGGCTAGAGTTATGAACATAGTGCAAAAAGGATGCTTTTATTTGGAATAGCATACTTGGAATTTTATCCTTATAAAATATAGTTTTATCATGTAATACAGGCATACCTCATTTTACTGCACTTTGTAGTACTGCATTTTCATAAACACAAAGGCAAGACCCTTCACCAGCAAAAAATCATGACTTGTTGAAGGCTCAGATGACAGCATTTTAAAGCAACACAGTATTTACAAAACAATTTTAATTGATTTCAGAGGCAAGGAGAGGGATAGATAAACATCAATGATGAGAGTCACTGATCAGCTGCCTGCATGTCCCACACAGGGGATTGAGCCTGCAAGTCAGGCATATGGCCTGACCAGGAATCAAACTTCATGGGTCATAGGTCAACATGCTACCCACTGAGCAACCCTGGCCAAGCAGCAATAAAATATTTTTTAATTAAGGTATGTACATTTTGTTTAGACATAATGCTATTGCACACTTAATACATTATAGTATAACTTTTATCCACTGGGAAATCAAACAATTGATGTGACTTGCTTTAATGCAGTTTTTCATCATTTGAACCAGCAACATCTCCAAGGTATGCCTGCATTTACAGAAATAAAATTTGTCCTATTTGTTAAACTAACAAGTATTCAATGGATCTAACAACTATGGAATTAAATTTATTATTCCTTTGTAAGTGGCCAAGAAAGTGAATTTCCCCAAAATTAACTAGTACCTGCTTATCTTCTACCAAAAATATCAAAGGCTAAATAAAATCGGCTAACATTATTCCTCATGCTCTGGTGCATTTATAAAATAATAAAGTCCTACAGAAACATTAGGCCTTTCAACCCCAGGAAGGAAAACTAGCAACATTCCTCACATGAACTTCAGTTTAAATAACTATCTGGATCCCTGAGCAATTCCCATGAGAATCATTGAACAATATTAAAATTGAACCCCATATCTTTTCATCTGAATTATGGTCCACAAAAACGTAATACTATTGAAAATTAAGCCTTGAATTTGTTTCGTTTGAACACTGAAGTATTCTTATTGTTTTTTTATAACCTAAATGTGATTTCTTTTTTAAATTAAACTGATTGGTGTTATATTGGTTAGTAAAAATATACAGGTTTTAAGTGTATAATTCTATAATACAACACCTGTATATTGTATTGTGTGCCCACCACCCAATGTCAAAAAGAATGGAATGCTTCATGGATTTGAGAGCCATCCCTTGTGCAGATGTGATGATAATCTCTTTGTCATTCCAATTTTAGCATATATGCTGCTGAAAAGAGCTCTACGTTTCAATAATTTTTGAACTAAAGAAAATTTACCGTTTAGAAGCAAAATCTAGCTGGGTAGAAATTTTGGTGTTTTGTGATCGCAAGTCTGTGACTTGCTCCTGAAGTTTCTCAAGCTGCTCATTCTGTATTTTCTCATTATCTGCCTTTTCTTTTTTGTAGTTCTCAAAAATTTCCTGCAACTAAATATTAAGAGAAATTATTGGAAGATGACAATGTTCTCGAATACCTTATCCAAGATGATAAAGGTGTGTGGCCTTTACCTGTTTAAGGGCAGCCTTGGCTTCTATAGCCTCTGCTGACTCAATTATAGGCACTGCAGTAGGAGTGGAAACAGTCTGTGATGTACTCGAACGTTTTGGAGTTGACACGAGAGAACTATCCTCTAAGCTAGAAGCTTCAGAAATATATATATATATATATAAAAACAAGAAATACATATATAAAGTTAAAACATTTCTTTGAAAATACATCATTTAAATAAAATCATAGGTTACAGAATTATTAAACAAGCAATTTACTAAATAGCCTATTAAGATTATTGGTTTCTCATTACGTATATTTGCAGATTAAATGTTAAATCCAAATGACCAAAATAAAGATAATTCACTGACTTTAACATGCACACTTTTCAACAATGGTCAGCATTTCTTCTTTTTTTAATACCTAAATTAATGGTATTTAGGATCAATGACCTGTTATCAATTATGTGGTAGTCAAATTTGAAGTTATCATACATACTGCTTATGTTCCAAAATCCATTCCCTAAGATACATTTCATAAAAATTTCTCCCAAATACTTAGAAACTTTTAACACATAAAAAACCCACCTTGTAAAGGAATGACAACTCCTGTTGTTTGTGACAACAAAATACGGTACATATCACGCTGACGAACTATGGAATCAACAAGCTGCATCTGATGTTGTCGGGACCCACGGAGTTGTTCCAATTCAGTGAGGGCACTCTCAAGTTTGAGCTGAAGTTCAGTAACTCTACAAAAAAAACACACAAAAAAACTAAGTCTATTTTACTGAGCTTAAGCAGTAGTTATAATTTGTACTGTATGCAGACTAAGTATTTGAGCATTTATCATTAAGCATAATATTTTTGTTTCTTGTTATGACCTTTCTTCTACTGATAAGAATTGCTTGCTTCTAAAGCCCCATCACAGGACTCAGGCACTCATCATCTATTTGTTTGCAAAAATTAAACTGATTCCACTTAGTCTAAACTCTAGTCTTCTTGTGTTCATAGTCACTCCTCCTCTAGCACCAAGCACACTTCAAAAAAAAAAATTGTTTACTCTGCCTAAATAATTTCTACATATATTCCCCATGAAGCCAGGTCTGTTATGCTCCCAGGAGTAGGCTTTTATCTATAACTAGTAGCCCGGTGCACAAATTTGTGTACATGGAAAAGAAATTAATGAGAAGAAATATTTTAATATTGCTACTCGCCCTTTCTCTGTAATAGAAGTGTCAAAAAAATTCATGATTGACGACAGAAGGAAACACATGTGCAATTAGCACGAGAACTTTGTATGTATTGTGCATGTGCAAGTCAACTTGGCCTTTTGTACATATAGGATAAACTTGCTTAATTAAACCTGCTTTCTGAATTAGCTAAACATATTCCAGCCCAGTGAAGCACCCCAACTTCTCTTTCAGGTAACTGTCAGCAACAAAGCAATAAGTATCAACATGAAGCAGATTATTATTATAGAACATGCAGTGAGAACAAAGGGTGAAATATTTAACTGCAGCAGTATTTGACTATATTCTGAGCAATGAGAAAACCTGAAGTCATTTTCAAGGTCCACCATTTCTTCTTTTCAGTCGGGTCAAGTTTCCAAGCTTTCTAAATCTCCGTTTTCCGGCTAATGATAAGTAAATACCGAATCAATCTCCTATCTACCTACTCCAGCACTTCTGTGAGGATTAAATGAGATGAGGCATGGGAAAATGCTTCCCAGAAATTTTATTAAACTGTAAAATGTTTCTACCTGGCTATAAAGCAAGTTGTGTTCCTGGGCTAAGAAACTCCAAGGCTAGTCACTAGGGAGAGGAAGCCAGGCATTGCTACCGGACACCTACAGTGACTGCTGCTGGGCTGGGCTGTGGCTGCATTTTGCGTCATAGGGTCTCGGCAGCGTTGGCTGCAATTTGGTGGGCTGTAACTCTTGGGTGGTAGCAGGGCCTGTGTCCCAATTAGAGGAAGTTGAGTGTTGGTTTGTTGGTGTCAGGTCCGCAGTGCTCTGTTTTTCTATAAATGGCCATTGTGCATCATGGCAGTTCCTGTGTTGTCTAGTCCCCTGGTGTTCAGTTTGCATCATAGCAATTGATTGGATGGTCGGGCATTTAACATATTAGCCCTTTATATATATATATATAAGATATATATAGTTTTAATCACACTGAACTAAAATGATCCATTTATCTAATTATCGAGCTCATCCACACTCAGGTCCCTGAGAGAATTATTATTTTTCATATTATTGCTCCATTTTTCCTCTCTTCTAAATCACTATTTTTTCTTTATCCAGCACTGCTAGGGGGTACTTAAGAGGTTTTCAATGTTTGCTAATAAATGAAAGAAAGTAGCCAATAACTTACTTGGATGAAGTTGTTTCTTGTTCTTCTCTTTCTTTGGTTTCCCCAAGTTCCCTAAGAGCCACTAAGAGACGCTGATTTTGCTGTTGAAGTTCTTCAATATTTCTGTAAGATACTAGATGCTGTGATATTACTTCAGATGAACTGCTTATATCTGCAGAACTTACTTCCTCATCACGAATTACATGGTTACCCCTTGCTTCTTCAAGTTCCATCAAAAGCACTCTAATCTAAAAACAAAATTTGAATATATTATCAAATAGTATTGGCTTTAATTCTGGATTAAAAAAAAATGAAAATTTTCAAATGGAAAGATTATTTCATAAACACCATTAACATATTACATTATCTTAAAGTTTCAAGCATATATTTAAGAGATTAAAAGCTAAAAAAAAGTTTATTATTATTTTCATTTCTATAAAAGTGTATAATGAAGGCTATTTTTAAAAAGCAGCCAAATTACAATTTCAGAAGCATGGCTGGCTCAATTTGTTGTAAAATAATGACCCTATGAGATACACAGAAATAGAAACTTATTGTGTGTGTACAAGTATACGCTTGTACTTGCATCCTTTTTTAAAAAATATATATTTTATTGATTTTTTTACAGAGAGGAAGGGAGAGGGATAGAGAGCTAGAAACATCGATGAGAGAATATTTGACTAGCTGCCTCCTGCACACCCCTCACCAGGGATGTGCCCACAACCAATGTACAAGCCCCTGACAGGAATCGAACCCGGGATCCTTCAGTCCGTAGGCCGACACTCTATCCACTGAGCCAAACCGGTTCCGGCTGTACTTGCATCCTTATGTATGTATTATATAATGCAGCAGAAGAGCATGAAAACTAAGTTTTAATCCCATTTATGTGAAATTTTTGTCTTGTGTTTAAGTTTTGTTTGTAGGTCTACATACATAAAGAGTAAATACATAACAAAAATAGATGTACATTTCCTGACAAGTTCCGTTAAAAAAAACAAGTGGCAATGTTCTATTATAGCAGTAAAAACAAAGAAAACTAATGTATGTTTATATATGCTCAGGTGTGTTTGTACTTATAAAAAAATGACATGAAAAAATATACAGAAATCTGTAATTTGATTATATTCCGGGACATGGATAAGGGAAATTTTTTTTTTAAACTTTGAATTATTTAATTTACAACAATTGGTACCTATGATTTCAAAATTTATCAGACCTTAATGACAAAGGGATAAAAGGGAGGGGCTATGGAAAAACAAAGACTAAGCTGCAATTCTGCTAAAGCAGTATTCATAATTGATGAGAATTTCACATGTGGTAGTTCTCTCCTAGATAACTGCAAACAGATTCAGGTATTACTGGGCTGTCAGTTTAGTGGGGGGAAATAGAAAAACTTCTAACCTGTTGTGAAAGATCTTTTACTTGTATTTCCATTCTCTGGTTGTCTCTTTCAAGCACAGATGAATGTTTGTTTGCTTTGTCAGTGTCCTCCTGTAATCGCTGAATCTCCTTCAAAATGTAAATTCAAATGAAAATTCTGTATTTCCTTCTAAGAGCTATACAAATGAAGCAGTTATGCAAATAACAAAAATATGTACCATATTTTTCGGACCATAAGACGCTCTGGACCATAAGACGCACCAGTTTTTGGAAAAGGGAAATGAAGAAAAAAAGATTCTGAAACAAATAGTGTCCTAAAATATTTTATGTGCATTAAAACCCAACATAACAGTCATAAACACATGTAATCAACCCTGTAAAGTAAACAGCAGCATTTAGAACCATTTTAGAGCCGGGCAAGCACACAGAGACCACACAGAGCTGGGCAAGTAAAAAAAACTTTTTTTTTAAAGTATATGTGTAGGCTATATTTGGACCATAAGACGCAGGGACTTTCCCCCCCCACTTCTGGGGGAAAAAAAGTGCGTCTTATGGTCCGAAAAATACGGTAGTACTCAAATACCACAGCAATCAACTTATAAAATAAAAATATTCTATAATATTTATATCCAAAAGTATAGTGGCCCCAAAGAGATAGTCTTTATGAATATGAACATATGTATTTATTTAATATCTCAAAGATAACTCATCACTGTATGAAAAGTATTGGCAATCTGCCAATCCCTCAAATTAACTATCAATTACAATTTTATATGCACATCAAATTCAAATGATACCACGTAAATAATCTCAAAACTTGTTACTAAGACAAAAACAAAGAACTACATTACAATAATAATTATTGCACTGGTTATCTGAAAATAAATTAAGTAAAACTTGTTGGGTAAGATGCAGAAAAAAAAAAAAAAAAAAAAGCATTAAGAATTAATTCTAAAGAATCAGTTGCCAAAGTCACAAACCTGTAAAACAAAACAAAAAAAGTGCTTTGTAAAGTTTGGCACCA